GTCTCTTACATTCTGACAGGCTTAGGAATGTGTGTTGAAAAGCCCCAGCACCTTAGGTTTGGGCACAATAGTTTTGATATTTTTTCTTGGCTATTCGTTAGAACATGTTCTAGCTCATTAGAGAAATGGAGTAGGATATTCTTGAATATGTTTAACTTTTTTTTTTTTTTTTTTGGTAGTACTGGGTATTGAACTCAAGGCCTTGTGTTTGCTGCAAAGGTGCTCTTACTTGAGCTATGCCTCCAGCCCTGAGTTTTTTTTAACTCTTAAAAAATGGTTTAACACTTTGTTAATTTAGGTGTAATTTCTACCCTGTACATGATTTTTTTTTCAAATACATTAAACAAAAATTTGGCACTGTATTATGCACCTTGTGTTATAGTCTGTGTCTTTTCTTAACTTTGAATTATACTAGCTCCCCCATCCCCCAGCCTAACCATAAACTCAATAATACAGGTTCCTGAGAACTGAAGGTTGTAACATTGATGACAGGTTGCATGCTTGTTGTTTGGAAAACATTGTAGCAATCCATGATTGTCACAGTGTTGAATTTTTCAGTGTTGTGTCTTGAATCCAAGACCTTGCATATAGTAGGTAAGTTCTCTGCCATTAAGCTACACTCCCAGTCCTGAAATTTTTTGTTACAGAGCAGTCATAGACTTTCTAATACTACATTAAAGACATTTAAAGAGATTAACCCATGATCTCATTATTATGATAGAGTTCACATAGTGACAAGAACATGTGTCGAGAGGAGAATATTCTGAAAATAATTGCCTTATTTTGTGTCTGTATGCTATAAAGGTCATTTACCAAACATAAAATTGTTCTGTCCATATGGAACATCATGGTGTAATCTACAAGATACATGATATTTTACTTTGAATAATTGTGATGCTTTCCAGGAGCCCTCTCTGCCTCATGGATATTTATTCTCCTTTCCTCAGTATGTCTTTCTTTCTCATAATCATTATTAGATCTTTATAAGGAAGAATTTTTTAAAAGTATTCCATTTGAGAAAAGCTGAAATAGCTGGGCACTGGTGTCTCACCAATGTAATCCTAGCTACTCAGGAGGCAGAGATGGAGGATTGAGATTTGAAGCAAGCCCAGGCAAATAGTTCATGAGACCCTTTCTTGAAAAAAACATTCTCAAAAAAGGATTGGTAGAGTGGCTCAAGTGATAGAATGCCTCCTAGCAAGTGTGAGGCCCTGAGTTCAAACCCCAGGACCTCCCCTCCCCCCACAAAGGGTGAAATAAATTGAGTTGTATAAAATGTGAATCCAAATTGAATTTTAGAGACTTTTCCCTTTGTTTCTGCATTCCTGGGTAGACATATATCTTTTAAGATGATGTATAAAAAATGCTAGTGATAAGCTGACCTACCTACTGCTACTGACTGGCTAATTAGGGAGGATTGCAGACTTGTTAAAACTAGTTGTAAGGCATTTTTTGGAAGGAAATATTAAGTGCTATTAGTATTCTGAAGATAATACAAGCTATATGAGCTAAGAAAGTATATATTAGGGAATGAGTTGTTTGATGTTTTAGAAATACTTTGATAGTATCTGTTTTTGAGAAAGTGATTGACTTTTTTTTTTTTTTTTTTTTGGTGGGACTGGGGTTTTAACTTGGCTTCATGCTTGCAAAGCAGGTGTTCTACTGCTTGAGGCACACCTTCAGTTCATTTTGCTCTGGTTATTTTAGAGATGGGGGGTCTTAGGAACTATTTCCCCCAGGGTGGCTTGGAACCAGAATTCTCCCAATCTCAGCCTCCCAAGTAGCTAGAATTGCAGGTGTGAGCCACCAGTGCCCAGCTGTTTTGTTTGGAGATTGGGTATAACTGTGTATTCCAGGCTGTCCTCAAAATTTGCCATCTTCCTGCTTCAGCCTCCTAAGTGCTGGGTATTATAGACCTGTGATATCCAGCTTGTTTTTTTGTAGTGTTCTACAAAATAGACTTTTGGTTAGTTTTGGACCTACTTGTCAAAGGGTGCCTTTTTACCTTGTTCTCATACCTGTTAACCATAGGATAATAAGCTTCCACATGTCATCTTCTTGTGCCATGGAGAGTGATGCAGTTTTCTTTTCATTTAAAGCTTATGCTTTTAATTCTCTCACCGCCCCCATGGGATCCTGTTAGTGAATTATGCCTTATGTCTAGCCCCTTTCTTTGAAATTTGACTTCTGAATATACAATATAAATCTGTTTTTTGTATCTTCCTAAATCAAAGTGAAATAATAGTGTCTCAAATGGTTTTATAGATAGGTCTCCCCTCCAATTTCTTTCTCATTGATCATGATGAATCTCATGTCCTCTCCTCCCCTCTCTCCTTTCAGATTCAGTCATTTAATTGTACTTAGTAGACACAGGTAATATGGTTCAGTGGTAGAATGCATGCTTAGTATGTTCAATGCTCTAGGTTCCACCCACTAGCACCACAAAAACTAAAAAAAAAAAAAAAAAAGACATTTATTAAATGGCAGCTATCATGTTCAGGTAAGAATCTAAGATATAGACAGACAGACAGACATCTATATAGATATGTAGTTTTTAATACATACCTTAAGGTGGATGTTCCACAGTTTAATGGAGAAATAAACTTAATGAAGGTTGAAGGTATTTTAAATTTTGTTTTACGTATTATTTTTGTGAATATAAGGTATTTGCAGGTCTCACTGTGATTAAGTAGGAAAGCCAGAATTATATTCAGTAGATTGATACAAAGAATTGTCTTTTTGTCTTATTTTCTTTTGGTTTGGTTTTGTAGTGTTTGTGTTTGCTAGGCAAGCACTGCTCTGCTTGAGCCAGGGCTCCAGCCCTGTAAGAATTTTGTTCATATCTCGGCAGCTTTTAATCACTTACTTGTAGCAGAAGCTTAAAGGTTATGCTTTCCCATTTCAAAGATAGGCTTCTTTTAAGTCCTTGGCATTCTTAACTAAGTAATGATTTACATTTCAAGCAAGGGTGACTTCTGTTCCATTTTATTGTATAGTTTAACTTATGCTGTCTTTTTTGTTACTTAACTCACTACAGTTTCTTGTAGGACCTAGTCATTTTTGTCTTGATTTAGTGTGTGTAATTCAGATCCGCTGTATCCAATATCGTTTATGTCTTTTAACCTGAAGGTCTGGATGCAATTACTTGCTGTGTGCAGGCTTATAATTTGCTAACACTTTATTTTCCTTATTTGTAAAATAGGAATAATGCAATGGCTTATAGGTTTCACTGGCACAAATTATGCTACTATAATAAACAAATAAGCAAAGTGCTGTATAAATTCTGTTTAATTATTGCTGTTTAACACAATAACAGCATACACATCTAATGCCACATCTAAAGGCATAAGAAATTGGAGGGAGCAGCACACTGAACAAGTAAGATTCATTTAGGATGTTAGTTCCAAAAGTTGAAAGCTTTTTTCAGACACTGGAGGGGATGTATTAGCTTATTTTCCTCTCAAAAGACTCAATATAAAAATTGTGGAGTTTTTCAGTCCATCAAGTATCAAGGTGGTATGGTGCTCTTTCAGACATTCGAAACTTGAAAAACAGATGTGGTGATGCGTGCCTGTAATAGCAGTACCCAGGAGGATTGAGAGTTGGCAGCTAGCCTGGGCTACATAGTGAATTTGAAGCCAGCCTGGGCTATGTAACAAAGACCTGGTCTTAAATTAATTTTTTAGCTTATGTCTCAGCTATTTGGGAGGCTGAGATGGAGCAGATTGCAGTTCAAGGCCACCTTAGGCAAAAAGTTAGTGAGACCCCATTTTAGTGAAAACCAGGTGTGCTGGCTCAGACCTGTAACTCCAGCTATGTGGTAGGTGTAAGTAGGCGTGTTCTGGCTTAGGCCAGTGTGGGCAAAACACTTAAGACCTTATCTAAAAAATAAAGCAAAATGGGTCTGGGACTGTGGTTTAAGTGGAGGCCCTGAGCTCAAACTCCAGTACCATCCCAGTTTTTTTTTTCCTAAAAGAAAGTTTCTAAAATGTTTGTGCTTGAAGGAATATTAATAGAATGAATATGTGTGTGCGTGTGTGTGTGTGTGTGTGTGTGTGTGTGTGTGTGTGTAATGTATTTCAGCAATACTGGAGGTTGAATTTAGGACCTTGTACTTGCTAAGCCAGCCACTCTGACGGCCCTTTTTCATTGGCTTTTATTTTTGAGAGGTCTCCCTTTATGCCCAGGCCTGCTTGGACTGCAGTCCTTCTATTTGTGCTTCCTTGTGAAGCTGGGGAATGACAGGCACACACTACCTGTCCAGCCATTGGGTGAGATGGGATCCCAAAAACATTTTGCCTGGACTGGCCTTGAACCTTAATCCTATCGATCTCTGCCTTCTATGTAGCTAGAATTACAGGTTTGAGCCACTGTGCCCAACAGTTGAAGGAATATTCTCGTTCTAATTTTATGTGTTTGTTTGTGGTGTTGGGTATTAAAATACAGAATATGTGGAACCATTGCTTCGTTTAACCCTCCTTGAGTTGTTTTCATTTTTCCAGTAAGATACTACAGTTTTAAAGTTTCCTGTGTATTTATTATTTCATTTATTCCCAACATACAAGCATGACTTTTTTAACTCTGGCAGAGGAATCTGAGTCATATTGGGTGTGGTTTTTACAGAGGCAAGCTCTTTAATACTTGTTGATCCTGTGATTTGTCTAATACCTGTTTGTGTGCCATTAGTAGAGATTGGGGTTTTCTTCCATTACTGTAAATGTGGAAAAAGACATTTCTGTAAGTGCTCCATTTTCTCCATTGTCTTTGAGAATTTCTTGGCTATTCAAAAGAAATGTTAGTAATAGTATGTGCTCAGTTCTGTGTCACATGATATGAATGTGCTGTGTTCCTGACATTTCATAACACAGTAACCAGTCAGATATCACAATATAAGATAGCACAGCATTGGTGAAACCTATAATGTCAAATTGTTTGCATAAAATGTCCTCAGTTTTGGTACCTCTCATTTCTGTGTGTTGTATCATAGATACCTAATCAGTCTGATTTTTGTCATTTCTTTCAGTGAATGGTAGTGTCTAGAAAGGGTATGTCCCTTCAAGAGAGAGGTGCCAATGTCCAACCGGCCTAATAACAATCCAGGGGGGTCACTGCGACGTTCACAGAGGAACACTGCCGGGGCCCAACCGCAAGACGACGCAATAGGAGGAAGGTATGTATGTTGTAGAGTAATGTGAAAAGGAGTTGGGAATTAAAGAAAGTATTTTTTTAAAGTATTTTTTAATAATCCTGCTGAGGGCCAAAACTTGAATGATGATTCCAAATGGGTGTAATTTCTCCTACTTTTTGAGCTAAGTAACCTAAAGCTAGAATTCAAATGATTTCCTAAAAATCATTCCTTAAATATGTTATGTTCAAAAAATAGTTCTCAGTCATTGACATTATCAGAAACCTAATCCCTGACACATGCTAAAATACTTTTTTTTTTTGGGAGGGGGTACTAGGGTTTGAACTGAGGGCCTCATGCTTACTAGTCAGGTGTTGTAACACTTGAACCACTTCTGGGTATTTTGAGATAGGTCTCTTGAACTATTTGTCTGAGCTGGCTTTGAAGCACGCTCCTCCTGATCTCTGCCTCCTGAGTAGCTAGGATGACAAGTGTGAGCCACTGGGGCCTGTCCTGCAAGACATGTTTAAACCATTTGTGGTCCTTTTTCTTATGTATGTTTTAACTTAGTGACTATTGAAATTAAGCCTCAATTTGTGTTAAGTACTTGAATTTTAATACTCAGCTTTTGGGGGTTTTCTCATCATACCTTTAGACTATATATGGATATTGTCTGAATTTTGAGGCAGTTTGACTTTGTTAGCTAAGGTCTAGTGTTAGGCCTTGAACTCAGGGCCTCTTGCTTGCTAGGCAACCACTTGAGCCACTCCAGCAGCTTTGTTTCGTGTTGGGTATTTTCAGGATAGAAACTGTCTGCCCAGGGTGGCCTCACTCTGCGATCCTTCTGATCTCTGCTTCCCACAGAGCCAAGATTACAGGCATGAGCCACTGCCACTTGGCTGGTGTTAGTTTTTTTAGTTTCTTGTTAGCTAATATGAGCAGTATTCTCTTGAATGTAAAGTTTTGAGTCTGTTTTAGCCAAGTACTGTCATTCTGTGTTTAAATTACTCGGAACTCTGCTAGTAAGGCCTAGTTCTCTAATCCCAGGACTTATCAGTGACCATGTTTAGCTTGATGTAGATAGAAATAAATTGTAGTAGGATTACCTGATGCAATAATTTGAAGCACAGTTATGTATGTATTTGGTAAATTGTTAAAAATTAATGTTAAATGTAAAATAAGTTGGCACACTTTCTGTTGAATCAGACTCAGTTGTTAAGCATGTGGACTTTAGACCAGGAGGTCTTGTATCAGAGGTTTTTCTGCCTCTGATATTGTTTAGTTACATGTGTGTGTTTTTTGTTTCTGGAAACCTCAGTTCCTTAGCCCACATAGTGGAGATAATTTATTTCCTAGGGTTATTGGTTAACTTAAGTGTTAAAGTGTGCAAGTGCTTAGCACTGTGCTTAGTTTTGTTTTCCTTTGTTTCTTTTTTTGGTGGGACTGGAGTTTGAACTCAGGGCTTTGAGCTTGCAAAGCAGGCATTCTTCCACTTGAGCCACAGCTCCAGTCTTGCACTGTGCTTAGTAGAGTTATGTTCTGAAATTTTTTTGTTTTTGCTTTTTTACATTCAGGTTCAGCATTGAAGCAGCCCCACTTATTTTTATGCTGTTGATTTAAAAAATCATTCCTCCCATTTATTTTGAATAGTATTACACAGTTTAGAGAACTTGGAAAATACAGAAAAGTAAAAAAAAAGTTACAATGCCACTGTCCACTTAAAGTGATTCTTTTTCTGCTCAGTCTTTTGTTTTTTATTTACATGTATATGTATTTGTATGAGCATGTATGTGCTCATGAGTAACTCGTGTCTTTCAAACAGGTTTGTTTTTTTTTCCCCACAGTACTGGGGTTTGAACTCAGGGCCTATACCTTGAGCCACTACACTAGCCCCTTTCTGTGGTAGGGTTTTTCAAGATAGGGTCTTGCGGAACTATTTGCCTGGGATGGCATCAAACCTCGATCCTTCTGCTCTCTGTCTCCTGAGTAGTTAGGATTATAGGTGGAGCCCGGTTTACATTCTTTTATACATAATAATGTTCAGCATATGAATTGACAATATTTTGGGCTTAGTGTGTTGCTTCTAAAATCCACATCAATGTTTTGACACTGTTACCTTTAGTTGCACATCAGTGTTATGTACAATTTTAAAAGTTTGTGTTTTGTTTTTTTTTAATTGTATCGTGTTACAAATAAGTTGAGGTAGATGTAGTGGCATGCTCCCTGAAATCCCAGTACTTGTGTGACAGAATTTGAGGCCAGCCTGGGATACATAGGGAAAGACCCTGTCTCACAAAAAAAAAAACAAAAGCAAAAAGGCTTTTTTTCCTGCAAAAAAACTAATACAGAAAAGAGGGCAGTTTTCCTTTTTTTAAATCTAGCATCATTGTGTCATTTCCTACATCACTAGAAATTGTTTTACAGTCTTTGTGCTCAGCTGTGTAGCTATATATATTACAACTTAATAGTAACTATGAGTTTGTAGATTTTTTTTCCCAGATTTTCATGTGGATAAGTATAATTATGATGAGGACAAAGAAACTTAGACCAAAAATTCCTGTCAGTTTATCAGTTTAGTGCAAATTAGTAGACAGTGGCTGTTTGGATATAATTTGCCTTCTTTGATGCTTTTGGGTGGAAATAGAATCTCAGGGTGGGAAAGAAACTTTAAAGGCCTTCTACAAACCCCTAATAACTTGAGCAACTCCTGCAGAGTGTGCTGTTATCAGCACATACCTCATCTCTTTGAGTTTTGGGAATGAGAGGATTGGGATTAATTGTGAGAGAGCAGTTATGACTTTTTATTCTCTTCATTGACTCATGTTGCTTAGCTTTTCTAAATAAAATGCTGGAACTGTGGCTTTGTCCTGGGAACGGTGGGTGTGGCATTCATAGAGACACAGTGATTAAAATGGTAGTAACAGCAGCTACAATATAGAGCACTGGTGGAGTGCCTTACATTTTTCCATTATGCCAACCTGTTTCTTTGGAGGGTGGAACCGGTGCTTTGAGCTCAGGACTTTGTGCATGCAAAGCAGGCACTCGATTGCTTTAGTCACACCTCCATGCCACCCTATTTTTACTGTACAAACGACTTGATCCATATGATGAAGGACCTAGAGGAGGGTATAAAGTGCTTATAATTCTTCTGTTTTCTTCCAAGCCTGCATAGGTTGCTGCCTTTGTGTAGTCTTCCAGTGACCATTCTGCCCTTCTTCCAAATCAATGACACTTACCTTTTTTTTTCTTTTTGAGACAGGATCTTTCCCAGTTGGCCTTCTAATTGAGATCCTTCTGCTTTAGCTTCCTGAGTTCTGGGATTGTAGGTATGCACCAGTAGGTTCTGCTTGGTCCCTTAATTTTTTTTTAGAAGAATAATTTTTATTCATCCCTAAGATAAGAGTAGAGTCTTCTGATTATTCCCTCTGCTCTTTGTCATTCATTCATCGTTCATTATTGCCCATAAATGAACCATAAACATCTTCTATGGTTTTTCTCTTTTCCTTTTTTCTGTGAAGGTTTTTTTGTATGGCTTTTGTTTTGTTTTGGAGTGATCCTGGGGTTTAACTCAGGGCTCTGTGCTTGTGAGGCGAGTGGTCTACCCACCATCTGAGCCTCTTGAGTTTTTGAATGACTGCTGATCTGTTCCTTTCTTGTCTAGTCTCTCTTAGTTAGGAAATCACTCCCTTCCATTTTTTCTCTTTTGGCTTGCTTTCAGGGGTACTTCTGCCTTTTCTACTTGTAGCTCAGGTATTTGTAGGCTACCCCTTCCCTCTTGGCCATGTAGTAGCAATTTCATTAATACTGTGTGCTTTCACCCAGTGGCAGTGGTGGGATTGAATTCAGTTTTATTCCTACTTTGCTCTTTTTTTCTCTTCAGTACTGTCTCTACTATTAAAAATAGTGCATAGGGACATAGAAAATTGGGAAGCTTTAGGAAAATTAAAGAAATTAAGATAATTTTAGTTCTACCAGTCAGATAACTATGTTCATATTTTTACTCCATGTTCTTACAGTCTTTTTCAAGATGAAAATAATAGGGAAGAATAATACAGTGTAGTTACCAGTTGCAACTAGATTTTATTCTCTGTGACTCTGGAATGTTATTCCATGAGGAAATTTATTTATTTATGCATTTATTTAATTTTTGGCAGTATTAGAATTTGAACTTGGGGCTTGGCACTTACTAGGCCTGCACCCTAGTGCCTGAGCCACATCTTCAAGCTCTCACGAAAAAATTTTAATTCGTTCCTTTTTTTTTTTTTTTTTCCTTGACCTGAGCCCATAATCCAAATTTGGGCTTCTAGTCCCTCCCTCTCCCAACCCCCCAGTTGTTGAATGCTATGACTTATTACATTTAGTGAGATGGTTTTATCAAGTTAAACTCCTGAAAATGGATTCATAGGCTCCTTAAGCCTATAAAGTGTGACTGTTTGGATAATATCTATCAGAGTGTTAAAATGTCTTTCTGAAAGATGGCTCTAGTTAATACTCCTGATACTTTGTGTGAGTGCCCATTTCTGCAAATATTAGTCAATAGAGCATACCATTAAAGAAAAGTTTGCAGAGAAGAATTTCCTTTGGCTAAAGTTAGATTTATTTGATTATTATAGAGTTGGAAATCTTGCCACATGTTGGCCAGTTTTATATTTTTTGTTAGTGCTCTTTATTTTAATTTCAGAGATGCTTATTTTCATGTTTTTTAATTTATAGAAGTTTACAAAATTGGCAATGAAGTCTATTATCCCTATTTTCTGCCTTTCTCTATATTAAGAGTAATTTTTTCTTTTTGGTTCTGATACAGCATTTTTACATTTGACTAATTTGTTAATTTTTTTTGAGAACAAATGCTTAAATTCAATCTACTACCTCATTTAAAATTTTGTCTACAAACCTGTGATGATTTTTAATGTGTAGTAAATATACTTGTGATAACTATAGGTTTTTTTTTAATCTCATTATGGAATTGAATTTATAATCCTCTGGTCTCCCCCTCCCATTGCTATAGTTTAGCATTTCAAAGCAGAGATTCTTTAAAAGCAGCA